TCCTTATAGTGGACACTCCTCTATAGTGGACACCTCCTTATAGTGGACACTCCTCTATAGTGGACACCTCCTTATAGTGGACACTCCTCTATAGTGGACACCTCCTTATAGTGGACACTCCTCTATAGTGGACACCTCCTTATAGTGGACACTTTCTTTTCAGTCCCTTTCATGTGAAATACCTCTCTATAGTGGACATTGATTTAAATTAGTAAAATATTCTTTGATAAATACGATCAATGATTTAAATTAATAAAGCATTCTTTGATGAATACGATCAAACACATACTATATCATTGATATTTTTTGATGACACATAAAAGGCAGAAAAAAAGAATCATCCGTCTGGTTGAATCGATGAAAAGTAAAAAGAAAACAATAGTGACATTGCGTTATTTGTCTCATTTGATCTATTTGTCTTATTTCTAACTGGCGAGAAAGAAAAAGGAGCATAATGTCTCATCGAAAAGCATTAACTTTGGAAGAAAAAATTGCTTTCATCAAGGATAATCAAAATGCTCATGGTTTATCAGTTCGCGAACTGGCTGATAATTATAAAATATCAAAAAGTAGTGCTGCCAATATTCTTCGTCGAAGTGAAGAACTTTTAGCTGATTATTCTTCGAATTGTAATAAAGGTATTAAACGCAAATCCAAGGACGAAAATAGACAAAAAATCGATGAACTTGTCTTCGAATGGTTCACTCAACAACGTGCTAAACAAATTCCTATTTCTGGCCCCATTTTACAAGAAAAAGCAAGACAAGCTGCTGAACAATTAGGTTATACGTCAGAAACATTTAAAGCATCAAGCGGTTGGCTTGAAAAGTTCCGCAATCGTCACGCTATTTCATTTCGCACAATTAATGGTGAAAGTGCTTCAGTGGATAATTCCACAGTCGAGGAATGGACACCGCGACTTTCAAAAATACTTGATGGATTTGATGAAAACGATGCTTTCAATGCAGATGAAACGAGTTTATGTTATCGTGCAACACCTGATCGCTTATTGGTCATATCCAAGGAAGAATGTAAAGGTGGAAAGAAGAGCAAAGAAAGACTCACAGTTTTACTGTGTTTAAATTTGGCTGGGACGGAAAAATTAAAACCAGTGGTAATCGGTAAGACTATATTCATTAATTAATAAATAATTCATATAGGTTTTATTTAATTTTAGGTAAAAGTCAACGTCCTCGTTGCTTCAAAAAGATTACTACGTCGAAACTACCTGTCATCTGGCTGCCAAATCGAACTGCTTGGATGACTTGTAACTTATTTACTGACTGGCTCATCACCATTAATAATCAAATGAAAAAAAAGAATCGAAAAATTCTTCTTTTCATCGACAATGCTCCATGTCACGTAATTAATCATGATTTATCAAACATCAAAATTGTCTTCTTTCCTCCAAATACCACGTCCAAGTGCCAACCACTTGATCAAGGTGTTATTCATTCGTTTAAATGTTATTATAGGCAAAAATTAGTTAAACATATAATTTCTCAATGTGCTCTAGCTCAAACTGCTGATCAAATATCAATTACTGTCTTAGATGCAATTAAATGGATTGATTTATCATGGAAAAATGTTACGGAAAATACAATTAAAAATTGTTTTCGTGCTGCTGGTTTTATTCGTTCTTCTTCTACGCCTTCATCGTCTATGACGAATATGGATATTATTGTTGAAACGTATATAGAATCAAACAATTCTGATAATCCTTTACAACAACTTCATTCGTTATTAGTTCATCGTCGTATTGGTGGTTCACAGTTAACAGCTGCCAAGTTTGTAAACATTGATTCCTGTATTCCAACCTTTAACGAGTGGGACGATTCTGAACATCCTAAAACTTATATCCAAGTTACTCAAGATGATAACGAAGAAGAAGAAGGAGAAGAAGAAGAAGAAGCTTTATTAGAACAACCACCAAATTTATCTGAGGCACTCGAAATTATGAAAAAACTTCATCTTTTTGCTTCTATCGAACAACCTCAGCTACACAATCTTATATCTGATCTAGAATCGCAATTAACTGATATTTATCTTGATTCAAAAGCGGTTAAATAAAGTTCTATTACAGATTATTTTTCTCATTGCTGATTTTTTTATTTTTGTTGTTTGTGAAAGTAAATTAATGAACGAAAGATCGAAAAGTGTAGTAAATGTGATTATCTTACTCATAGTACTGTGCTCATTCAAAAACCCGTGTTCCATCGAAATATTAAGAAAAGAGACTTATCCTCTCTAAACTGGACATCTCTGTATAGTGGACACTTTTGGAAAGTCCGAACGGTGTCCACTATGGGGAGGTTTCACTGTATATGTAACCATTGAAATTTGGTTTTTCTATTTAGATTTTTCACAACAAAATGTATCATTGGTAAGTACAATGATAATATTAGAATTTTTCTCCTTTGAGGTCAATCCGAACAGAGAAAAAAAACAATTGTGAGTTTGAAGAGATGAAAATACATTGCTGATTGTTGAGGATGTGAATCGGTCTTTTTTTTATCAGTTGACGATGATCCATATTCACACACTGCTCTTGATTATTGTAAAACAAAAATCAAAACGGTGAACCATTTAGATATAGGTTAAGGGTTTAGGTTAAGGGTTATATATAGAATAAGGGTCAGGTATAAAATAAGAATATAGATTAATAATTAGATATAGAATAAGGGTTAGATATAGAATAAGGATATAGATTAAGAATTAGATATAGAATAAGGGTTAGATAAAGAATAAGGATATAGATTAAGGGCTGGATGTAGAGTAAGAGGTTAACATAGGGTATGCATTTAAAAGTTAAGATATAAATTAAGGAATGAACTTGTTAACGAAGGGATAGTTGCCTGAATTGTAATGGAAGCGTGAATGGTAGTATTAGTGCAAACGCAGAGGCATTGCATTGGAATGGAGAGGTTATTTGAGGTACGAAACCATTTTGAATACTAATTGGGAACTGTTCCATACGAAACCATATTTATACGAAACCGAAAAAAGGTTTAGATTTCGTTGCAAATCTCGGAACCGTTTTTAAGTTCCATATGGAACTTTTTTTTCTTCAGTGTGCTGCTTCCCCGGCACCTACATTATGGGTACATATGTGTGTGTGTAGACAAGCGTATCTCCCTTGCCCGGCACCCACATTATGGGTACATATGTGTGTGCGCAGACAAGCATATCTCCCTTCCGCGGCACCCACACCCTTGAAAGCTGAAACTTGAAACTTGAAACTTGAAGTTTCATTTGAATTCAAGTTTCAAGTTCGACATGTATGATTAAGGGAGCACTACTAATGCGATTTTCGGACAGAAGTTTAAAAGAAAGTCAGAGAAAATAAAAAAATAAAAAATCAATGACTACACTGGGAAAAAAATAGCACCATACAGAACCATTTTTGAAACGAATTCTAAACCCTCAAAAAGGTTTCGTAAAAGCCTAAGATAGCCTCAAAATTATTATCAAGAGTCCAGGAAACTTTTTCGAAGGTTTTGTGGAAAACCTACGAAACCTAAAAAAAGGTTCAGAATTCGTTTCAAATCTCGAAACCCTTTTTAAGTTTCGTAGTGCCTGCGAAACCATTTTAAAGTTCAGTGAGAAAATTCGAAACTTTCTTGGTTCCGTGTGGTGCTATTTTTTTTTCCAGTGTAGTAGTGGAACATCGACATGTATGAATCAAGGAACATATTATAGTAATTGGGTGTGGGTTGGTCTTTGATTAGTTCAATATTTGCATCAGATATTTCAGCTATTGCTCAAATCTACTCGACATATCGTCTTTGGATTAATATGAAAACTTCACTTGGTAGTTCCAATTACACAAATAATATTTTCCCCAATAATCAATCGAATTGGAATAACTATATATCGCGCTCTTTAGCAGCTGTCTATTCGACGTACACATATGCTTTACAAATTGTATCGTCATATGATAAAACAATGCTTTTTGAAAGAAATACTAATTTAGAGATGGGACAAGCACTGTGTGCGTTCTATTAAGACAAACAATGGATTTTTTTACTCAGCTGAACTATTTGTCACGAACAGAGAAAGCAATGGTTTATTTAGTTATCCGTTTGAAAAAAAATTTCTTTAAATACATGTTGCTTATAGTAAATGATAACAACTATAACTGACTTAGATTGTTACAGAATCTCTTTTAGACACGGACGGTTTCGTTTGATATTTAGGTTCATTCAATTGATACAAAGATGAATTATTTTTGCTGAAATAAATTATTCGTGGAAACTTTTATATAAATCATATTAAAGAACAAAACAAATATCTATCAACTCGGGAGCAGTGCTATTTACTATATAGACGCTAGATCAAAAAATGAATCAACAGAAAAAGTTGCAACAGTAATCGATAGGAAGTTTCGATGGAATTCTTCGATTAGATATCATGGAGTATTGTTTTCTGGGCAACTCTTTCGAAAAACCAGGTCTTCGCTTAGTATTGGCGCAGATTGTTCGATTTTGTATGTAAATGAAATAATGTTAGTTACCGCTACAAATAGCACTTTTGAAAGTTTCTCAAGGAGAAATTCGATTTCTTTCACATTCATCTGGACAGGCGGCGACAACAGAGATTCTGATGATGAGTCTTACGTAGAATGAAGACACAATCAAGCATCAAACTCATCGGTATCGGATGAATCAGAAGGCGCCTGGGTATTGATGCGAAACTGTGCGGAAAATGATAGCGAATGATTGGTAGCACATGAACATGTTGTATAAAAAAGTTCTGGGACAGTTTGTTCATCAATTGAAATCGTTTTCTTTATTGGCGATTTTCTAGAAATTTCTTCTTCATCTTCTTCATCTTCGTCACTGTCGACTGGTCGAATGACGAGACTCTGCATGGTTGATGTAAAGTCATAAACGATAGGTTCATCATGGTCAGTTTTGTCGATGAGTGTGAGACTTTGCCGCTCTATAGTATTCTTGCCATCGTGTAGCCAACAATGGGATCCACGCATGAGAACATTGTCATTCGCTTTTCCCGCAATAGATATACTAATACTTTGTCCATAATCCTGTTTTGTGTTTTCATGTTGATTGGGTGGAATCGAATGGAAATCTGGTATCGAACACTGTAGGTCCCTTTCGATTGAAGTTTCTATTTGATTATTAGATGGTTTGAGATCCACCAATTCGTTGTTGTCCATATTGAAAATCGATTCCCTAGTTGTACTATTCACATCGTCTTCTTTTTCATTCACGGATTGGACTTGCTGTTCACATTTGTCATTTTCATGACAGTCATCACCGATCGATTCATTACTGGGAACTCCTTCTCGTTGATGTTCAACTGTTGGGTTCACTGTTGTGAGAACACTAGCGAAGGGTTGGATCACGCTAACAGCGGCAGATGTAAATTGATCACGAGCACTGACAAACAATGAGGGTCCTTCGTTGACATTGATTGACGCTTTATTTTCAATTTCTGTTGATAAATCAGTTCGCACTTGATCGCTTTCGAACACGCTGTTAGCATTTTCGTAAATGTCGTCGAGCTGATTCTCAAATATTTCATTTTGTTCATCGCTCCAATATCGATCAGTAGTACGAGTAGCTTCACCGTTTTCGTTAGTGGTAGTAGTCTGTTCGGTCGAGTTGTCATCGCTTACTATACTTTTTTGCAGTTCCTGCAGAGATACATAATCAATTTTGTCCGTACCAGTATTAACTAGTTCACTGGATGATGTTGAATGTTCATCGGAAGTTTCGTCGATTTCTGAAAAATATTCTACTTCTATGGCAGCGCTGGTGGAAAGGCTTTCTCTATAGAAACGTAAAGAAGTGACAAGCAATGTAAATAAATGAAAACTTCCTACTCTGAAGAGCTCGAAATATTGATGCCGGTCTCCGGCGTACGAGTATCCGTTTCCACACATTCTGCTGTTTGATTTTCTTTCAATATCTTCTTATAGTCATTAGTTTCAATTTGTATCATTGGTTCTTCGAAGTCAATTCCTACCGTTGATCGTTTCAATGGAACAACATCGACGACACATGAAGACTCACTGATCACTGATTCAACTTCTTCTACCGATTCCAATTGATGTTGGGCTTGGTCCGAAAGCCATTTTGATGGCGATGTTGTCACGGATGATAGCGTAACATCTTCTTGTTTTATTGACACATTGCTATCCGATGTTTTCTCACAGTCGATCTCTTGATTAACTTCTATAATTTTCTCAGTTTGCATTGGTATAATATGCTCTTCATTTTGACCTTTGGTCTTATCAATGCACGCAATCTCTTGTTGATTCTCATCTTGATGAACGTCCGGCTCATTTAGAGATTCTATTTTGATTTCAAAGCTCGATTCAAACGCTTTCATAGAAGGTCGTCTATTTTGCGTGATTTGCAGTATCAAGCTGCTCTCGTTGGTGGGAACCCATAGAAAATGAGTGACGAGAGCAGCAAAGCATATTGATATGTTGTATGTAAAATTTGCAACTTTAGATGATTGTTCGACGTCTTCTCCCATGCAAGCCAACTTCTCTTGTTGTAATAATTTTATGGGGTTATGGTCAATGTAAAGTTGAGAGCAAAAACCAATATCAAAATCCACTTGTGACGAAGACAATGGCGTGGCAAACGATGACAGCCCTGATGGGAGCAACTCCGGATCATCTGTTTTCGGTTTTTCTGTTGACGTTGTGGCCAGATTGAATTGTAGCTGCTTTCTAACAGTTATTTGGTGTGATTCTGCATTTTCTTCGAATTGGGCCAATGAAGTTGTTGGTTGAGAATAAACAAATGCGTCTTTTTGGTTCATACTACTGAAGGGGATAATGTGATTAGCATCGTTCGAAAACAATGAGAATACGGCATCGGAAGATTTCGATCGTTTCTGCAGTTCACAATCATTATTCAACTGCGTGATAGATAAAAATGGCAATACTGAGTATGACGAGCAGATTCTCACAGGTTGAGAATTATCGTCAGACTCGTTAAGGTGTTTCTTTGTGATAATATCCATCGATGGCATCTGTTTGTCTGTGTCTAATGAGCATGCATGTTTATGAAAGGGAACTTTTTGACTTTCTTCGTTATCTTCGTCATTTTCCTGTTTAGTAATTTCTAGAATTTGGCCTAGTGAATTTGATACTATGGTAACACGGTTTATTTTCGCTTCGGAAGCGAGATTTGGAAGTTTTTTCTTGAAAGATGGACGATTTTCGTTGGTTGTATTGCTGTTCGATGGCAATGATTTCTGAGAAGCGCTGGTAGCTGTTTCTTCTTGAACTTCATCATATTTCTGTTCTGCATGAGTGATCATAGCTGATGATGCTGTAGTATTGGCGACATTTTGTTTGGCAGCTAGTGAAGTCAAAGATAGCATTGGTGTATTACGTTGACTTTCTTCAAGATCTTGTTCGTAATTGCTCTCTTCTTCTATAGATTTTTTATTTTCTTTCATGACTAGCGATGTTTTATCCGATGTACCAATACCGGAGATGATATCATCAATATCAGTCATGTCGGCACTGATTTCTGTTAATTCGGCCGATTGTAAAAAAATATCTTGGCTTGCATTTGATGATTGATATTGATCTGGTGTCGATTTAATATATCTGCCTTGAAAGTTCCACTCTTTGTCGCATGGAAAAGTATTCAAATAGATAGTGTATATATCGATTGATAATAGCTGCTTTTCTACAAGAGACACAAAAGTGATTATCACAAGACCATCAAAACATTAAAATTGTTTACTTACGATTATTATCAATGTTGAAACCTGATTGATTATAAGGGGATTCGAATTTTTTCTCAATAAGTTTGCCATCGAATAGAGTAGAGGATTTATCAATTGATTGACCTCGTAAAATGCATGATGCATCATTGTTGACAGGTTGATCAGTCATACTTTCAAATGTCAACTCATTGGGGCACTGATTGAGTTTATTCCTTGTAAGTTCGTCATTTTCATTATTCATAGGTTTGATTGAACCTGATTCGCACAGTGTGTCGTCATCATCTTCGTCGGATACTGTATCATAATAGCTATTTATTGTTGGTGATTCCACTCGGTAGAGAATTCCAGGTATTTCATTAAATGCCTCGTGTGCTATTTGATCGCTTGTATCATCGTCTGAACTAAACCATTGATTTATTACTGAACAGACTGGGATAGATGTTTGTTTGCACGATACATTCGACTCTTTCGCCCATTTGTCACTGATAACATTTGAATTCTCATTCTGACCAGTCGTAGATCCATTTGGTCGATAGATACTCAATGAAGTATTGTCGTATTGTGCGTTCAACGAGTCAGGATTACTCGAAGTAAACAACAGACTTTGTCTCGATGTTTTGGATTCTTCGGAAGGGTAGCTCTGATCATAGTCTAAAAGTGATCGTGAACTACTAGTATCACGCGAGCTCATTGTTGATGCAGTCTCATAGTCAAGATCTGTCATAGATGATGATCCATCGTCAGCTTGCCGTTTACGTTTAGTTCTCTTCGTACGAATTTTTCGAAAATTTCTTGATTCCGATCTAGATCGAGATAGTGGCCGACACGACTTAAGATCTTCACCTACATAGGTTAACTCATAAATGATATCTTCGGTAACAGTTGGCTCGACTTCTTGGAATTCGACGACCTCCTCAATTTTCAAATCATTTTCATGCCAAGTCTTAGTCTTAGTATCAGGACCCCAACGTTCCATCAACGTCGGATAATGATCAAGTTCAGTAATTTCCAGAATTTCTTCTCGAAAAATCTCTTCATCAGAATCATCCAAATAGTGAGTTTTACGAAATGGCGATGGTGATAAAGACGACCGATAAAGGGAAAGAGAAGGATACGATGATTCATATTCGCGTACATGTCGAGCTCGCGATTGTCTTGAGCTGGAACTTGATGCTGATTCGTAGCTAAATGAAGCTACAGAATTGCAATCAAGTATTTGATGGTTAACAACAAGTGGCTTTTGTCCTGTGTTTTCATTAGTGGGCGATGTATCGAATACATTTGATGATATAAAACTCTGATTTGTGTTAGCCATTCTATTTTGTTGACTAGCAGACGTTACCGATGCCAATTTAACATAATTATTAGAATCAGACGTACTTGCATTATCCTGCCTCACGTTTATAAGTGACGTAGCTGAATCTTTATCCTTATTTACTTGCTTGACTGTTTCTCTTCTTTCCATTACCATTGACACGTTCATAACATCATCAACATAACTGTTTTCTGTTTTTCTCTCTATTTTTAATCAACTTCAGTATAAAGTTTCAATTCAATAGTATTGTATAATGAACAAATTTCAAATCAGAGATAATCTAAAAAAACCAATAACTATTTGATCGTTTGTTTTTATAATCAGAAATTCATATACGGAATCTTCTTATTAATATTCTATTTTCTCTTTTGCAATAAAACTACTGTAAAGTTTCTTAGTAGCCAAATTAGATCTAGTGGTCGATCGATTTACATTATTTATTTCTGATTTTTCCCCATGTAATAAAAACCGTGTGAAAATCGGTGGTTTATCGCGGTTTTACCGGTCCGGTTGCCGGCACCTATATCAGTGTAATTTACCGCAGGAAGAATAAATACCGCGGTTTACCGCAAAAAATGATCTAGTATTCGCAACATGGGTCAAAATTCCAGTCTAGTAATCTTAATTAATATTCAAATTTTCTCATGTTTTATTTTGTCGAAATATCAGTCTAACGTTTTATAAGCTTATTCAATAATATTGTTAATTAATGAATTAGCACGAGCTTAATTCTACTGTTCAGAAATTATGAAATGTTTGAGTCATAAATGTGTATGACGACTTACCTAGTGTTCCTTACCCAGGTGAAAAAAAACGGCCCGTAAACGACCTGAAACGGCATAAAAACGATGTAAAACGTTAAAAAACGGTGCTATTTTCCGTCAGCTCGGAAAACGAAGAGAATAATGTTAACAGTGATGCCCGTTTTCTAGGAAAAAACAGCGGCCCGTAAAACGAGCTGATGGATTATGGCGAAATAGGGTGAAAGTTAATGCCGTTTCAGGCCGTTTCCGATGGCCTTTCAGACGACCGGATGATCCTCCTGGGTACCCAAATGAGTTCTTGAAAAATAGCTTGCATTGTATTGTCCATAAAGCTTTGTAATCTATTTCTAGAATTCCAGGTCAATGGCTCTGGAAAACGGATACTGCGAGAACCTGCAGGAAAATGCGGGGAAAACCACCGTATCCTGCAGGACAACACTGGAAATCGCGGGAACCGGAAACAATATTCCGACCGGAATACTTCTTCCGGTTACCGCGATTTCCAGTGTTTTCCTGCCGTTCCCCACCGTACGAGTTCGACCTGGGATTTACTACAATTATTTACAATCAATTCGTCTAGTGTTTGCTGAGAAAACCTTTTTCACCAGCATGCTTATACCCAACATTCATACAGTGTTTGTATTCTAAACGGAACTATGATACAGGAATCACTAATAAGTTATTCGTGTCAAAGGTGAGTAGAATATTGCTCAGTTTCTATTGAATGACTACGTGGCTCTGTCGTTGTTAACGAGTTTTAATCGCATGCAGACATGATAATGAAAAACTATTTCATTTTGCGAAGCGAGTCAAACAATTGTAGAGATCGCAACTGAATCCTAGCAGAGATAAACTATCCCAAGACGAAAAAAACAACGATATCGAATACATGCTGGGGAAAAAACAGGTTTCGATCATTTTGAAAATAAGGTTTTGACTGAAAGAATAACACCTATCATAGTCTTGTAAAGTTATATAAAATTTATAATTGCTAAACGACAGTATAGTAAAGAAAATTCAAAACCAACTGTGTATCGATTTTTATTGTAAGGATTTTAACAGTGCTCTCTATCATAGAAACTTTTCTGTCCGATCGACAACAATTTTTCGGAACACAGGTTTTCGTTGGCTCAGTACGCGATGTATAGCTATACTTATCTGCTGCATAACTGATACTGAATTCTGTAATATAGTACGCCCTTCGATAGAAAGTAAATACACGTAGGATCTTTTTTAAGAGAATCTCTTTTCAGCAGACCTGTAACTTATCGGATCCCACTATGTTTTTTTCCGCATTCGATAGCACAATCAACTAGAAGGAATCTTCACAAATTGAATGTTGTTCGGATGCGTTATTTATTTTTACTATCGATCAGCAAGCAGAAAACAATATGATGTTTGTTGTTTTATCTAGACAAGTTATTTAATGATGTAGACGACGAATGCATCACATTGTCTTTGTCTACTTGTTTATTTGCACATTTTTTCTTTATCTCTACTGCAAAACAAACTGAATTTTGAGTGGAGTTGCGGTAAGCTTATTTTTTTCATACTGGTCTCAGACAAAGGAGAAGTCTTACAATATAAAGATATAAAATGAATTCTATTGCACCCATAGAAAGAGTATGCTTCTTATTCTGTCTAATAACGATCCTACTGTCATGGTAATTACTTCGAAAAGTTGTGACTGTCGCTTTAAAATACTTAGAAACTCGAATCTGAATCGAAAAACAGCAGGGTTTTTTACAATATGTGCGCTTTATGAGAGCAGACTATTAGAAAAACTTTCTTTTTCGTGCAGTCATCAGATACACTCATTAATGTGTAATCAATTACGTTAACTGCGATTAGTACAGTAAGACGTACCAAAATAAATTTTGCAAAGAGAGAACGACATTTTATCTCAGTTTTCGTTGTGACTTTCATAAGCGTAAATAACAACGAATTTCACGCAGATAAAAGCATCGGGAACAAGATTTCATACACTTACTAAATATGAGAACAGAAAAACAATCAAAGGATGTGAAAGCAAAGTCATTCACCTATGTTTATCTTACATGTTTTAGATAGCCTCCTACAAACAAAGCTATGTTTGATGTTGTATCTGATGATACTAAAATAGCGAATGGTTGACACACTTTAACCGATATGAATGATTTATTATCAGGACTTACACTGTGCACCATGAGAGGCGAAGTCATGAAAAACGTATACAGTCTAGTTGCTAGATGAAGAGTAGTTAAAAATAAAAGAAACAATTATAGACTTAACAAATAAAAATTAACTAACGAAGAAACTATCACGCGATACGAATACTATTTTCCTCTCAAGGAAATTCTTACTTTCCAAAAAACAAGCAGATCGATTATCGGGTCGTAACAATAGGGATATGTAAGTGGAACAATTTTTGTGCAAAATATATCTTTAAGAAAAAAATAATAAGAATAATTAATGGTAAGTTGGAAGAAAAAATGAGTGACATAAATATAAGACGTATATAATATGATATATATATATATAGAACGAGTAACAGATAGCTAAAAAGTGAAATCTAAAGTCTTTTAAACACAAATATGTGTAGATAGAAACAATGTAGATGATAGGGTTTACATGGTTTCGATATTATTTGCATAGTCTGTCTATTTACCTCTACCGAGCAATAAAAGAAAAAAAATAGTATTATTCATTTCGCGAGAAGATAATGATAGGTAGGTGGAGAGTGAAAAGAATAACTGATATCGGACGAATGCAGATAGCTTCATATCATGTTATAAATGTTATTCAATATTCATAAAAACAAGTCACTCGACGCATAAAAAGAAAAGAACAACATTCTACAAGGCCTATTCGCATCAATGCTGTAACTTCTATTCTCTAATGATCTACCAGAATTTAATAATTCAAAAAGGATACGATTAATATTTTATTAATCCATTCGAAATAGTATTAAAAAAAGAAGATACGAAAAAACAGAGATATTTGACTGTAAATTATAGCATGAGTTCTGATATTCGAGTTAATCGAAATCCATGTTGAAAACATTTTCCTGCTGATTATTGAATACGTTCTCATACATGCAATCAAGCTAAGTGATAAGTAACTGTACATCATCGTGCTAGATTTTCAATGTTTTATCTGCTCACTTACAAGTTAGCCCGATCGGATAATTTTTTGTAGTACTATCTAAAGAAACACTGAACGAAAGAAAGGGTTTAATGGACAACTTCGTGAGATAGTATTGGTTAGTCTCGACGAAAATGGACTGCACATGCCAGTAGTCAGGTAATCATGATCAAATTAATCTTACCAACTTTGCAGAAAAATTGACTTGACTTGATGGAATACTTCATTTTCGACTTTTTTTTCAGATTAAACGAATGACATGGTGTCCATGACATAGTTGAATTAAGTCAGCACTTAATAATTGAAGGACGAAATGAAAGAGAATTTATTTCAATGATAGAATTAGATACAATACACTCTAATAGATAATATGAGTTATATGTTTATGATACGTATTGAAATCTTAATGCGACTTTTGCTTCATTCGGTTTAATCGGTCGTTTTGCACGTCTCTGTGCTTCCCTTCGTCTACGATAATTATCACGTTCACATTCGACGGGATCAATATGAAAAGCATATTTAAGTACATCCATAACAATGACAAACGTACATGTTACAGAAATGGCTCCGATTGCAATATATGCAAATGATGAACTTAAAATTTCTCGAATTTTCAATTTATTTGTTTTAAATTGACATAAATCACCATAATAATATACTGAATTAAGACATAAACATTGCCATTGCATCGCAACTGTTTGACAAATACCTCTGTTTTCACATGTAATGTTCGCACATAAATCAACGTTGAGTTCGCAATAAGCACCATTATAGCCTTCAATACAGTCACATTTGAAATTTAATCCATCCGTTGATGCTACAGCTGCATTAACAGGCATACAAGTTCCATTATGCCTAAGATACACGAAAAGAAAAATAGATTTTTGGCTAATGTGGTTTCTTACCAGCATTTATTGTCTGTGCATGCTTGTTGATCGTTTTCACAATCATATCCTTCATAACCTGTTAGACATTCACAATAATATCCAGCTAGCACCGTATTATTTGGAAAACAAGTTCCTCCATTCTGACACGGTTGTGTTATGGTGCATGCATCCGATGATATATTACAATATGTTCCTATATAAGAATCATTCTCACAACTGAATAAATTATTGTAACGTGTTATTATGGTTGTTCTGGTAGTATAAGTCGCCATCGTAGTAATATTATTATGATTATCATTAATAGTAGTTCTAGTAGCTGTTGTTGTTGTTGTTGTTGTTGTTGTTGCTGTTGTTGTTGTTTTTGTTGTTGTTGTTGTTGTTGTTGTTGTTCCTGTTGTTGTTCCTGTTGTTGTTGTTACTGTTGTTGTTGTTGTTGTTGTTGCTGTTGCTGTTGTTCTTGTTACTGTTGTTGTTGTTGACGAGCGAAAAGTTGAAATGCTAGTAGTCGAAGTATCAGTTTTGTCAATTATAACTGTTGCTGAACTGCTTGCACCAGTGCTAGTAGCTATGATTGAAGTATACATTGTGCCAGTAGTCGCTTGCTTTTCAGTTGTGACACTCATTGTTGTTACACTGAGCCCAGATACAGTCGCTGTCGTGCTTACTGAAGTCTATGAACAAAGAATTGACAATCGATTTTTTATTTATAAGACTTATTTCTCTTATTATGTAAAAAAATATGCTTTCTAGTAAATTCAAGATATGAAGCATAACCGATCTTATATTGATATGAAATATAATGCAATATCAAAATCCATAGGTAGAACATTTCACACTGCTTCAGCAGACAATCTTCAAATCATAAATTTATATGACAATTTAACACTACGTTACTTAGGATAATATATTTCGGAGTACTAGCTGATTTACGGTTGCTTGTGTATCCACGTGAAACACACGTAGACAAAATAATTACGTCAATTGTAGTAAAGATATTGTCACTAGTGTCGAAGAGAATGGTTTCATAACTAAACCGTCGTATATCCCTCAGACTAAGTATATATCAAAATGCTGTTATAGAGATGTTGCTGTGTTTTTCAGAAACCTGAAATGTACTTTGTGTATTGTTTCATGTTTAATAATTCTTCATATTATGTGATGTTACTATTATAGTCAATTTTGCATTTGATCTATATACATTTAGTTCTGTGCTACTGTTCTTTATCATTGTCACTAAGCCTTAATAATCAGTAAATTACAAGTTATAAAAATGAAATAAATAAAAGATATCACTAAATTTTTACGAGATTCTCTAGATCTGTTTTTATTCTTTTGATATTAGTTAAAAAATGATCAAATATCAAAGAGAAAGCTGGTTTTAAACTATGAGTAGACAAGAAAATAACTCTACTGCTAACCTCGTCATACTCTTAGTAGATAAAAAGAAATATTCTATTATTTTTTACCTGTGCTTTTGTATTAGTAATTGTCTGTATAGTGGTTTGTTTTGTCGTCATTGGGCTGCTGCCAGTATAAGCAGTTGTATGCGTGGTCGATTGACACGTATTCTGATCAAAATTGACCTCAGTAGCTGCTAAACAATCCACATCATTAATTTCTGTGTAAAGAACTGATGGTAAACAAGTCAATAGTGATATATTGACTGTTTTTGGTAGAACACAAGTTAAAAAATTAAAATCCACCCATTCAGTAGTAAAATTATCAAATAATGTTGTATTGTTTGATGCGCTTGAAACCATATTCACTGAAAATTACAATAGGACAATTCTTCTTCATAATAATATTATATTTACCGTAGGAAATGAAAATAACTAGTATCACTAGTGTCGATATAGAACTAGCCATATTGCAGGATTTTTTTCTTAGAATGAATTCCAAGTTCTTTTTTTTTCTTTTTTGATCTTTTTAATACAAAAACATTAATGTGTTGCTAGTGTCCTTTCTCTTAACATTCATTTTTTTAATTTATATAAAAATACTTTTTATTTTAAATGAACTAATGAAAAACAAAGTTGTATTAAAAAATAGGAGGAAAATAAATTTTTGTCACTTTCATTTCTCCAAGAAAAAAGACTTGAGAAAACGCCATTATTCTCTTTAGTTTTGAGCTGCTAATTGAACAATTAACATCAACACTCTTACTTTTACTGTGCCTGGAAATATCACTTCTAATGAGTAGATGTTCAGAAGTATATTCTTGAGAAGTAAAGTTTCTTTTTGTTCGCTCATTAAAAACATGCGAAAAAATATTAGTGTTATACGTATATTGAAAGTGACCTTTTAAGATGCCTTATGATTGATGAGAAAACATCAAATTTTATTTGGTTTGAAATCATAGTTCATTTAGAAAAGAAGATATAAACATTAAGTTTAACTCATGTCATGTCCGAAAGCAGTTAACGTAGATTTCAGATTTGAAATAGAAATACATCTTCACAGTATTAAAGAGCCACACGTTTCTTTTTTCTGTTTTGATTGTTCCTTGGTAAAATTTGGATCTAAATAAAGTTTTCAAGTATTTCTATTTCACCGTACGATATAGTTTTGTTATGAAAAATACTTGTATATGATGTTTATAACAAAAATTCTTCGCACGACATGTCACATCAATTTTCATCAAATTATTAATCAGTTAGATTCGAGTTTCTTGCTTAAAAATAGTTCATTGAGTGACATTTTTTGACAGAGACGAAAAGACGATATTCTTTTAAAGTTTTACATTCAGTTCATATTTGTAATTATATTAACGAAAGCCGCCTGAATCCAAGTTGCACGAAATTTTCTTTGTGCATCAATTTGTAAACGAAGATTTTACATAAAGATAATCGGATTTTCTTATGATTTTTATAGATTACTGAACTTGATGCTTTGAAAAATGTTTTCAACTCTTTTTTTTATAGAAAAGATCATGTTGATATGAGGATCAGAGTATTCACAGTACATGAAGAAATCTTATTTATCAATCTATTTTTATCAATGAATCGACTGCCAATATTAAATATAAAGTTTTCATTTTAGTAAAGAGTAAGAAAATATGTATATTTATCAAGTGCAGATATTTAAAAAAGCAATCGTGCTTCTTAGAGAATGCAGTCATTAGAGTTGAAAAAATATTCTTTCCTTTTGATAATAGTATTCTAATACTTCAGTCAACATAAATAATTTCATTTTTTTAAAGAGCAAACAACGCAAGGCTATGTATCGTTGATGTCGGCTATCTTATCTTCTAAAAATAAAAAGTCGGAATGAAAACGTGACTACAGGAGCATAGTAAAAATACTGACTTGACGCACACGAATAGATATTCAGTTGTAAGTATGTCACATGTAGTTTGTAGTATATTAAATTAAGATATTTCTCAGTATTGAAATAAAGTAGCACAGCTACTCGTGATAGCAATTTGGAAATATAATTGCAGCAATAGGAAGGTAAAAAATGATTTTTTTTCTTTTCTTTTAAGAAACGGATACACGTACTAATCAACCCAATATGTCATACTTGGAAACGGTTCGATTTTTGCTGACCGGACCGGACCGGTTGGTTCAAAATTATGGCTTGACCGGCGAAAAACCGGTGCACTCATGTACTGTCTAAACAACTAGTTCTTTCGCGAATCAATGTTTTAATCCAATTCTACGAAGACATACAGTATCAAACTCATACCATCCTTGAAGCTTATAACAGCAACGACTCGTATTTCAGTCTATCACGTTTAATATGTTAATATTAAGAACGAACGAAAGTTTTCTTCAGAAAAATTCGTCTGGAAGTTCACATCAACTAAGATTAAACAAATAAGGTTAACTATTCTTTGCTTTTTGTCAAATAATGATACGATTTCTTTAAAATTGATAGGTATGATATATTCCTATTTTAAATATTTCGTTCCTTAACGCAGCTGAAAGTTATTTCAATCCGCAACATAATACTACCGAAAAGAGAAAGAGAAGCTGAATCGATGTGTAAGATTTTTACATTAGACTTCCTATTCAACGTTTATTGATATCTTAATATTATTGCGGTTGCATGATGCTAGTAGTTAAAAGCACCAAGACAACAGAAATGATTTGAAAAAATATTTTGCTACGTAAGCATGAGGTGAATACTGTTGGCCAGTGGGATTTTATGAAAGTGGGCTAAAATCCGTGCAAATGAGGGAGCAAGAATTTTCAAGGTGAGAAGTCTTGAATTTGCACCAACATCAGCTTGTACAATCTGCAAGACAATCTGGCTAACTTTTCGTGAGCATGATAAATTCATTCAACATGATATGATATAGCTGCTCTGATTATAGGATGGGAAAGTGTTGGTAAACATTTAGTGCTAGAATTTCCAATCCATTTGAAGTTTTGTCATTGGAAAACTTTCGGAATCGTATCTTTTGACAGTTAGTGCCATAGAAATCGTTAAAAACGAGCAAAATAAGCAAGTTTTAGTGCCAAAAATATTTATAAAAAGATCGGTGAAGACCGGCCGGTCCGGTCCCGGTCTACCGGTCCAGTTTCAACTATGCAATATGCTATTTTCGAATCCGACACTTTGACTTCGATCGTTTACAATTAGTTAACTTCATAATTAGATGATTATAAGCTTTTATTATAACTGTGCTTTAAATAGATTTATGGAAAATGTCTTATAATAAACCAAAACTTGACTAATTACATCACGTTTGGTATTTTTCTCCTATTCATATACTTCTAGACATGAAAAACACATTTTTGTTTTCACTATAAACGTAGGAAAGTACACTATGATGCACTTCGTCAATTGGATTCGAGACAAAATGTTGATGTCTCATGATGAAACACAGTAATTAACTAGTGCAGCCAACAGCTAAGCATGAGTTGACAGTTAGCAAAGAAGCTTCTTTTTTTATTATTAAACTACACGCGTTTCCTATATTTTTACCAGGCGAAACTAAATTGAGCATACTCAAGTTTCAGTCAGGGTAAAAAAATTTTATTTTATTTTGTTCGATTTAAACATGAGAATAAGAACCAAACATTAAACAGTAGAAAACAATTCAAAGATTGTTTTCATCTGTTATTCATTTCACAATGTCAAAATTCTTGACAGAGTACAGCATTTAATATGTATGCAATTCATAGACAATAATAGCAAATACTTTCTTTCAAACCATGAGTTTTAATTAATCAGGATAAAGCAAACCGAATGTGTCTTCTAGCAAGAGCTATTATATCTAAAAACGAAGAGGATCGAATAGACATATCAATCTATAAATAAATCCAGGAAATATTGTTCACATATATGCCATCTATTGAGAAGTTCTTTTTTTCTGTAGCAATAAAAACGTTATATCGTCAGATAATGTTGCACGATTATACCATCGAGAAGAATTATATAACTTAATAAAAGTGTCAACCATCTCGCTTGGTTCCTTAAATGGCAGATGTCAAAATTGATCTTTTAGATTATTAAGCACTTGATTTGAATAATTTAATAGAATCATAGTTTTATTTTCAATAGTATGTATTTTTGCAATATTCAAAATAGAAGATGAATGCAAAAAAGCACATGATTAATATACTAAGAAGTCGAATTATGCGTGAAAAAACAAAACTATATATCTGTTTGTTTGTGAACTTTGTTTGTATGACCATATTGCTGATGTAACTGTTATGATCCTCGCCTTTCGTGAGATCATATCATCACTTCTATTCTTCTCCTATGCAGTTTTCTCTTTATGTCTCTTGTCACAGGTCAAAGGAACATATATTGTTCTGTGTAATAAATCTCTCTTTCTCTTTCTCTCTCTTTCTCTCTAGTACTAACTATCTCTCTGTCTGAGTTTATCATATAGTATATATGATGGAGTGTTTTCTTCAATAAAGAGGTACAATAGTGAACTGTTAAAAAATAACCTTACAATTGGTGCACTAGCCGATCTTACTGACAATTCAACAACACAGTAAGTAATCCGGAGTCGTACATGAACAACAACGAACGAAAACATCATACTCGAAGCATGGCACAGAAGCAAGAATTTTCGTCATTAACTGATTCTGAACACAAAGTAAGACGAGGATCATCTCAATCCTACATCGAACAACAACAGATACGAATGGATGATCAAGATGAAAACAAACAAGCACAAATGGATATTCAACAATCAAATAAAATGATGTTATTAATGCAACAACTGTTGGCTAACAAGATTTGCTTCTAGATGAAAACAAACAAATTAAACAAGAGATGGCAACACAACAGATCACCATCAACAATCTTACTCAAACAATTGACGCTATACAAGTAAGTAATGCATTATGTCACAATGTACTGCCAACAAAAACATCATCATTAATAACAGCTCCATTGTGGCAGTCAACATCGTGTGTTATTATGAATATGTAGTCTAGTCTTAAGGAACAAGCTGTTAAACAACTACACTCTAAAAGAATCAATCAACTTCTTGATTCTACTCCATTCACTGGATCAGCTTCACAAGAAGTCTCAGATTGGATCGACGACTCTAGTAACAAGTGTGATCAAGTTCAACTAGATGATGCGCAACGTTTATCGGTGGTTATTGATCTTCTCAAGGGCAATGCCAAATTATGGTATGATACATACAAGGACACAATTCATGATTGGGTAACATTGAAAAATAAATTAACAACCTATTTTAAACTTGTAACTGGTACCGATCATTTTCAACTGGAACGAAAGCTTTACAATCGACGACGACAAACAAATGAATTAGCAATTGATTACTGTCACAACGTTCTGAGACTTTGTTCAAAGGTTAATAAATACATGGATGGATGATGAAACTCGACTCAAACATCTTACTAAAGGACTGAATGCAGCAGCTCAACTACATATGGATTTAAAAAGTCCTGCCACTTCGGAAGAATTTTTTCAAGCTCTTATTATGTATGACAAATGGCAAGAAGAAGAAAAAAATCAGGTGAGAGCTACCCTATCTTTTGATAATCGTAGACATATAGCAACAACAACAACACAACAACCTTTCATCCAACAAGAACCTTATTCTTCGATTCCACAACAGCAATACAATTCTCCGCAACACCAATACAATCCTCCGCAACAACAATACAACAATTCGTCACAACAACCACGACATCAACAGCATTACACAACACACGCTTCACATCAACCTCAACATAACAACAGTGAGAAAAGCTATGGTGGATGTTGGTCATGCGGTGGTATGGACCTATATCAATATAATTGTTCAAAAAACTACTAGGGGGAGTATGTGATGGTCACACTTCCTTTCCACAATCTCATCCATCACTTATAATAATTGGAACAATCGTTAATGGTACATTAATTTATGCGATGCTTGATACGGGAGCTACTACATCACTTATATCACAAACTGAACTTGATCTTATTACACATCCGCCAATTCAACAAATTCAAACAACAGCAGTACTTGGTGATGGAAAAACCAAAATAATAGTTAGCGGTGCAGTTGAATTAACTATTACTATCAATGATATTGCTACCATCATTACAGCTCTGATTGTCGATTCATTAGGTGCAAATTTAATTCTTGGTATGGACTGGTGCAAATCAAATAATGTGAACGTGAATATCGGTAAAAAAACAAGTCGAAATAAATCATCCAAAATACGGAATTACAACAACACCTTTCTTGAACTCAGGGTCAGTCGATGTCCGTCTCGCTGAATGCATCACTTTATTACCACATCATGAGCATATAGTCAAAATGTATGTACCGATTTCATCTGCTAATCTTGTTTCTTTTTTACCAGATATTAAAAAATGTTCTAAGTTAAATGTTCAAGTATCTGATGCTTTTGTTGAAATAAAAGATTTCTTATTTTATGTTTGCATTTATAATCCTAACAAAAATATCTACAAATTAGCTAGTACTATAAAACTTGGATCAGTATACTATCAGTCAAATGATGAAATGATGTACAGCATATTAAACCCATATAAGCAATCAAGTATGACAGAACATAGTACTCACCTGAATTCGATACAAACAAATGAACAACAAGAATCATCAAAATCATCATTACTCGAAAATACTCTTCGATAATTAGTGATGCATATTGATGACAAAAATAATCGCAATGATTTTCTTAATATCCTTCGACAAAATCAACGTTCATTTGACAACTCAAAAATGACCAGAGCAAAAACCAAGATTCATCATACAATCAACACTGGTGATCATCTACCAACAAGTGTTCGACCATATTATAAGACTGTACAACAAAGAAAGAAAGTTCAACAGGAAGTAGGTATGTTACTGATCAGGGAATTCTTCGACCGTCAAACTCGCCATGGTCGTCACCAGTGTTATTAAAGAGGAAACCGGATGGTACGTATAGATTTCTGGTTGACTTCCGCCGACTGAATTCAATCACAAAAAAGGACT